GTTTTCTTTTTTTTTTCAATTCGTTTTTTTCGTTGTGAATGAACGCTTCGCTTCGCTCACAATGAAATGAATGAAGTCAGCTCAATTTCTTCAGACTGTTCAAAAGAGTAATGAAAGCAAATTGGTTGAACTGGAGGCACTCAACCATGCACTGCAAACCAATCTGCAGATGATGGAGGAGAGTAGAGAGAGGACCTCGAAAGAACTGATTGAGGCCAAGGGACGTGTCGAACAGCTCGAGACTGAGCTGGCGGCCATGAGGTGTTCATCATCAGATGAAGCGAATCATGGACAGGTGATCTTTTTAGTCGTTGTTCCATGATATTATATTCATTTACATTTATCGGACTAGATATTATTGGTGGTTTGTTTAAGACAACGACGCAGAATGAGGAGTCGGAGAGTATGCAAAGAAAGCTGAAAATGTTGGAGAATGAGAACGACAGAATGGGTCGGGCGTGTGATGAGGCAGACGAGGAGATCGAGAAACTGAACGAGGAGAACATCGAGCTGAGGAATAAAATTGCTAAATTGGTTGGTTTTCATCATTTTTATCATTTTGTTTTACAGTTGATTGTGATTATTGGTGCACTGAAAATATTGTGAAAGATAGAATTTTTCGTGTGAAGTTTTTAAAACCATGCGAGATGATTTCAGGAAGGCTTAAGTGAAGAGGAGGCAGCCAAGCGTCTGGGTACGATTCCACCAATACCGAGTATACCCAGAGTGGAAGAAGTAACAGTGCACACCACAGACAGTTCTCTCGATCCTTGTTAGTTTCCTTTCCTTTTGTTCTATTTACTCTTCTTTTTTTGTGGTTGACGAAAATTTTAATTGTTTTCAGATTTCTTAATTTCACTCAATAATTTTACTGATTATGAGGTAAGCTGTTCATTGCGCGTTTAATGTGTTCTTGCGATATAACTAAGAAGGAGTTGCAGCGTTGGATACGGAAAAAACACCGCAAAAGGATGTCAGCAAAACGGAATCAATCCGATCGAAAGGGAAATCGCCATGGAAGAAGATGAGATCACCGAAGAGGGGCGAAGAACAGCAGTCGTGCCGAACTTCATGAGATGTAACTGAGTGCGACTTATCCCGTTCGTTGTGAATAATTCTTGTTTTGAAATCAATTTCATCAGTTGCCATTGAACGAGTTTAATTGTCAAATGTTGATTGATTGTTTTTGATTTGAATGTTTTGAGAAATTGCATTTACTGAGTCTGTTCACCATTTTATGATTTCAATAATAGTATTTGCAGTGCTGATTTAA